AGCTTTGCCACTGAAACCATGCAGTATGTGACTCCAGCTCTCCAGGACCACACTCAGCTTGTGACAGGTGTCCCCTCGGTGTGGTCGCTGCAGGCAGTGGCATCGTGCTCTCCATTTGCAGCGAGCTTCTGTCGCTATAGGACAACCCAGGGATTCAGTTTACACCATCACACCAAGCCAGAAGATGAATAACATGTTTTGTGATACTTTGGATGTTATTATGTGACACTGTCAGATAACACTTAGTACCTGCTTTCTCGATTTCCTTACAGCCTTTGTTTCTTCCTGACATAGCAGCTGGTTAATCTTAAACAACCTAGGGCTGGACTTGGCTTCTGAAAAACCCCTTCACTGGATTTGCATAACAGAGACCATCTAAAATGCAAACCATTTTGAACGCTGGTAGTATTTTTAGCAACATATGAATGAGTGACTCTTCCTGAAAAAATCAGTGTTCCTTTTCATCTAGTATTTTGTGTCTGATGTCACTTATAACAAAAAGAGCTTCAGAGCAGGAAGCACTGGCTCATTTTGATAACGTACCTAGCAAACAGTGCACCCTGTAGAATGGTTTGTTGAGTCTTACTTCAGTCTTACATTTTTAATTTTATTTTTCTCAATATTATCCTGCAGCAGCAAGTTCTGTCTTTTGTGTACTTTGAAATCAAAGGAAAGAGAGCTTTTTAACTTATTTATTTATTTTTACTTACAGTGATCGTCTTTGAAAGTTTTAACAGTAACTATACCAGCCTGCTCTGTGCCTTCTCATATACCTTTGTCACATTTCTTTTTTCCCCACTCATTTCTCCTTTCTTATTCTTATTGTACAAAAAATAAAAATACTCCATCAGTGCCGCTTCAGCTGTGATTTTTATTCTTGATTTGGTTGGCATATGTTTTTGTCTCTGACTCATAAAAGAGTACTTGGTTAATTTCTCTCCTGTTTTTAGAGGCTACATATTGATTTGGTCATTTCTGTTTGAGGAGTACTACACATGACCCATCTCCAACAGTGTATCTGTACTGACTAGCAAGAATTCTTAAATGCTGTCAGGACGTCTCCCCCACACACCTGTATGTCCATCTAGTGTATCCAAGCCAAAACTCCTTGGATTATGGTAGGTTAGGATTTCTTTAGGTCAGATTATCCACCTCAGTTCTGCTGTCTAGTGCAGAAGGTCCTTAAACCATTTAAAGCTTTTTGTTGTTGTTGTTCATTACATGCCATCTGAGGGACCACAGAACACCTACGTGTAACCGGTGTCTTCTTATCAGAGCTGACAAAGTCAGTTCCTGCTCAGGAGTTACTTGCTGGGAACCAGGTTTAAGTGTGCAGTCTGAGTGCCTCTTGGATGATATCAGTGAATTGGTGGATAATTGATGTCCTCAGGGACATCTAAAAACAGCATTCGTGGTAGAAAATCTTGCACCAGATGCATCAGTCCTTATGATATTTCCCACACCTTTCTCGAACCATTTACAACTTGTGGCCCACTTGTCATTTGGCTTTTTATGAATGTCTCATCCCAGGATATGCCTCCCATGTACTGTGTCCAACAGTGATCTGAGAGCAGGAAAGATTTTATTCATGGTCATGCTTGCCCACACTCTGGAAATAGAGCAGTTAACATCACTGAGAAAATTATAGAGAGAACAAAGGCATTCTTTGGTCGCAAGCTCTGAGGTTTGTCCTCAGCTGCTAATGTACCTGGGAAGTTCTCCTGCCAATGTCCTTACCAGAGGCTGCCAGATAGGCTGCTGGTGTCAGGTAAGAACTGACTTTTTACCTGACTGAACACATGCACGGCACTTTTCATATTTAATTCAAGATCCAAATATTTTTGCTCTGTGCTGTTTCACTTTATTGCCCTTGCCTGGCATGGGCCTTTTTCCATGATCTAACAAAAAGGAGTTTGGGTTTAATGATGAATTAGTGCTAGTGGAGTTTGAACTCTTCCTGTTTCTTCATTTATTCTTATCAGAGAGGTTGTGCTTCTGGAAGAGGAACAGAGGCTGCTCCTTTTTGCAAAGCTGACGAAGCAGGGAATGATCAGCTAGCCTTTGACAAATTCATAAATGAACATTTACTTTGAGCTTCAGTGGGAGAGACCCAGAGTCGTAAATCAACCCATTAAGCCTTCAACACACTTTTTTTGGAACCTCTTAGGCATTTCTTCTTTTCTGCTGCTGCTAAGAGACGTTTTAAGGGCGCAAGCTTCTTGCTATCATTAAATACAAGAGCAAGTAATATTGCTCCAGGCCTGGAGCTGAGGCAGTGAGTAACCTTCCCACTTTAAGAACAAATACCAGCAACTTCAGCTCTAGATATTTATTTTTCATGAACACAAACTGAAGTGAGGTACCAGTTTATCAGGAAGGAAGGACAGACATGGCTGTGTAGAAGAGGTGGAATTTTCTGAATTGATTTAAGAAGATCATATTGTAGGAATCAAACCTCATAGAGTTGATTAAGTGAATAAACAAATGTATTCAGTGAATGCCACCTTTCCTCCCTCAGTTTGAGAAAATGAAAGCAGATGTTGATATTCCATAAAATTATCTCTTTTAAGAGATCTTGACTGGTGTCTGATCTCACCTTTTTCAGACTAGCACTTCACCAGGAACGAGAAGGGAGTTAGCAGTGTGCATTGAGAGTACCTAGATGTGTGCGTGAGTGAGGCTCTCTGCCAGTCTGCTCAGCCTTCCAGGAGCATAGCTTTAGTTGTGGGGTAGGATGTGGTCTCTTAGATCTCTGGGTGCTGCTGCTTCTGAGTTAGCAGACGTGGAGAGATGTGGGGACTGGGACTTTGTCCTGTTTTACTTCCTGTATTACTAGCAGGGCACGTATGAGGATGTCAGGAAATGTTTACTCTCTCCATGTTGCATTTGGTGCTTTACAAAGGGACACTGCGTGAATGTGTAGGGGAGAAGGAAAATAAGAACCGTCATCACTTAACATTATTTCAGTTTGAAAGTAAGACAGCTAGTGTTATTCCTTGCTGTTTACACAGATCTAATCTCCTTGGAAGCTTAAGGAAAGAATAATTAGCCAACATCTACTTTTAAAAAGTCAGCAGCATGCCTCTTTCCCAATATAAAATATTAAAATAAAAGCCTGTAGTTACATTAGATAAAGTCTGATTATTGGGTGTACCGTTTCAGACTCTTGTAGGATTGCTGTAATGATAGGTAACTTTCCTCTATGAGCAATTTTATGCAACTTGGTGTTTTGTTTTGTGTACACATTGGCTAGAAGCAAAGAGACAATCCAGCTTAGCAATGCAAAGCTATGCCACTGAGCTGCTCCTCAGGGAGATCTGTAAAAGTTCCCATTGCTCACAGTCAGCAGCAGTAGGATAGGAATCACATTGTGACTGCTGAGCAAAAAAGGGTTGTCTCCTTTTTTCGAAGGTGCTGGGGGTAGATGTGTTAAAGTGTTGGGGGTCATGATGCCTGGGTTTCACTTCTGGCTGTGCCACAGCCACTGAGATGAGAGGCAGGATGTTTACGTCTGTGGGCTTGCATTTCTCCAGCTCTGTAGTGTGTGACTGTCCTACCTACAGGTGAGGGATGTTATGAAGCTTAATTACCATGTGCAGAGCACTTTGCAAAATACACTGTGCTGCAGAAGGTACGAAATAATAATTAAGAGGGGGGAAAAAATAGTCTTTCTCTCTAATTTTCAGAGGAATGTCTTTGTACTTTGACCTGGTTGTAACCACAGCCCAGAAGATTTTCCTATTAAGTAGGTGGTGAGAAGAACTGCTTCTTGGCAAAAACAACACACTGTCTTCCTCAGACTCGGTGACCAGGAATGAGTCTTTTGAGGCTAAAACCAGCGACAGATGCTCCATCCTTCTGCCTCTCACTAAGTCTGTAGGAGCCCCAGGTCAATTCAGTCCCATGTGTCCAAGAGCAGGAGATAGCCAGGTATAAGGGAGTTCATCAGATGGTGTGTGAGAAAGGGAGAGCTTTGTTCTCCTTTCTGTCTTGAAAGAGAAGGCAAGATTTCTCCCAAACCCGATGTAGCTCAAAGAAAGCCACAAAACCTCTGAAGGCTCCCTTGTTCCCTGTATGCAGTTACATCTGGACTGTGGTACACGTGGCTGTGGTACATGTGGCTGTGACAGTTCTGCAATAGAGGAGATCTTAGGGAAACACAACTTTGTGCCATCTTTTATATGCGTGTCTCTTCTTGTTTGAAGTTGGAGATAAATCATAAGCCATGGGGCTGGAAGTCATTTTACAGCTTGTGGTATGAAAATGGGTGTGTGTGGGTGTGCATGCATGCACTGCTTCAGAGTAAACCAAAAGACAGCCTTGTTTATTTTGTGCACTTGTTTAAGAAGACTGCTGGGTAAGAAACACAAGGAACAGATAGTTTGCTTTTGCTCTGCAACAGTGTCCAAATATCTCTTACCTTTGCTGAATGCTTTTGTATGTTACATGCTTTACATGCGAAAGAGCAGCTGGTCACTTAAAGCAGATTGCAGATAAAGGTTGATGGAAGTAGGGAAGCCAGAGCCTCTTCTACTACACATGCTGTTTAAGGAGGCAGCAGTAACTGCTGAACTGACCCTCAGAACACTGTACAGACTGAAGAGGACTGAGTAGCCTGAGTGGTTGATGGGTCTGGAATACCCAGCTGGAGCATCTCATGGAGATAGGTTTTCCTGTGATACGTTTCTCCCAGCATCTCCTAAGGATGTCTCTATCTCCTTATGTATCTTCCATGCACTTACTGACACTGTGCCACATGGTGACATTGCCAGGCAGGACGTCCAGCCTGAAGTGTGTGTGGGCCCCCAGTAGACTGCCAGCAGTTTTTTCCAATGGATTTTGCCTTGCTGCAGGGAGAAATGTTAAAGGAAAAGAGGACAAACAAAGGGATAGACTGGGAAAAGTGGAATAGGCACAATGAAAGAAGGGGCTGCGAAACTACTGCCACGTATATCTCAGCACAGTTTCCATTCCTAAGGCCTCTTCTCCTCCTTCTGCAGGTTAAACGGGCTCTCCCTCCCCTCATGACTGCAGTGGGACTAATCACACAGTAAGGATTACTCATGTGAGTAAAACTTGCAGGCCTGAACTGCTCAGAGACATTCATACTCACATTTGTTCTTCCAGCCTTGTGAAAGCCATCTCCCCATCTCCCAGCCTGGGATATGGGCAAAGGAATATTTTCCAGGGCCTTGAGCTTTTTAGCAGCAGTCACGAGGTTAATTTGAGCTGTCTTCTGACCTTCTGACCTGCAACGTATTCTGGGGTGAAAGGTGCTTTGTTCCCTGTCCCAGTTTTGTCTGAGCCTCTGAAGAATGGACAGTCTGAGGAGATGACATGCTGTCCAAATAATGGAGAAAGGTCTAGCAGTGTCAGCTTTATTTGGTTTTAATTGTCATCATCATTTTCTATTTTAGTAGACAGTAGGATGGGATGGCTCCTTTGCAGCTCTCAGCGGCTTCACAATCCAATTCCTGTCCAGTGGATGCTTGCTCAGATCTAGTCCTGCAACGCTTTGTTGAAAACAGGTAGCTGAAATGAAGGAACTAAGACAACACTTTTTTTTTTTAATAACCTAACAAACCTCTCCATGTGACCTGGAGGCAGTAAAGTATGCTAGATACAGCACTGGGCTTGGAATCAGGACACTGGCTTGTAATTATTGTTGTTATCTGCATTTTTGTCTCTGCAGTGAGCCCTGCTCATGAGTTAGGAACCAACAGTTCTTGCTGCCGTAAAAGCAGAGCAGAAGGCAGAGCTGGGCCCCCTGGGGCTGCAAAAGTCTCCAGGTATGCCCTATGGTATCAGGCAGTCCTCATCAGCCCGAAGGGCATTGTGGTCATCATTGCAGCCCTGCAGCCTTTGGGGTGGATTGAGCAGGTCGTGTTTATTTGTGCTAGAAGCGTATTGCCTGTGAAATTCCAGGGTGCAGTTACTTGGCCCAATTGCATTCATTTTGTCAGTGACATTTGGTGTGAAGTATTTGTGTTTGGAATTTGAGAAGCACTGTGTTGCATAGCAGCTTTGGTGAGCGGAGAGCTGCTTTGAAAGAAGTCACTGCAGTTGTGAACAGCTCAAGAGATTTGTCTTCTGAAATTGAAGGCTCTGCTGAGTGATTCCCGTCCTCTGTAAGATTCTTCCTATTTCTCTTTTGTAGCAAGACACAGATGTTATGTTCAAATGTTTTTATGCCCATCACACTTTCTGTGTCATTTCCACAGAAGTAATTCACAAATAAATAAACATGCCATTGTAACAGTCTCATTAAGTAGGAATGCAGCTCCTTTTGAAGGTGATGCACTTGTGCCTATTAGGTATGTGAGGGTAGTTCTCAAAGTAACACTCAATAGCAGAAAGTCATGTGCTTTCTTGTGCATTCATGCACTGAGCTGTGTTTTCTCTTAATCTCATCTGCATCAGCAGGTTGGTGTTATGGAAAAGGTATTTGCCTTTGAGAAAAAAGTAGTTTCTTCAGAGAGAAACTGTTCCCAGCATCAGGACATGAAAAAATTCTAGTTATTACTGAGAACACTTCTGCAACTTGAAATTTTGTGATACGTGTTGTTTGGTGACAAACATCAGTAGCTGCAGTGCTACAAATGATCTTTGCTGCTTTCCTCTGCTGTGCTGTGGTTACACACATTTCCTTAGATTCAGGCATGTGAGACCCCATTCTATTCCCAGCTCTGCCATACACTTCCTGCATGGCACTGGATGTGTGCTTTGCTTTTTCCTAAAGAAAAGATCAGTACAAGAGCTAAGCATTAGTTTTCATCATTAAAAGTGTATGTAAGAGGATCTCACTTCAATTTCAGGGTCATTAAAATATCTCCTGTCACAGAACTTAACAGGCAGACATCTTTCATCTGATTTGCCCTTCTGTGTGTCTGCTTATGAGATTTTCTAACAAACTGCTTTTTTTAAGAATGAATTATGGGTTGGTCGTTAACATAAGCTGCCTAAGAATTCTGAAGAATCTTATCTCTTTAATGAAAGCGACTCCACTGTAAGCCTTCTGCTAGCCCTGAGTTCCTGCTGTCACATTTCAGGTTCTTTACACACATTTACTCTCAGCGGCTGGTATTCAAAGATTGATTCACCAAGAAAAGAAAACTGCTCAATGAGAAGATCTTTGTTTTTCAGCACGCCGCCATTTCAGCCTTCCTCTAGGGAAATGAAGAGTGCAATGTAGTAGCTATTGTGACTGCTTGCTGGCTGAAGAAAGCAAAGGTAACTCATGGTGAAGGGAGATGCTACCTCATTTTGTTTCTGTACAGCAGGAATGAGTAAAGTTTATAAAAGTGTTCTGGGTAATTCATTCATTGGTTACCTTAGGGAGATTTCACTGTGATGCTGTGCGGCCATGGTGAAGGCTTTAGTGATTCCATTTCTCCTTTGGGCAAATACCCAGTGTCTTGTTAGCTCTTGTTCTGGAGAAATAAAGAGGAATGGGGTAGAGGCTGGAAAGAACACCCATGGGAATTGTCACTACAACTCACTCCCATGCCTCAAAAGAAAAAAGCAATTGCTTGACTGCTAGCCCGTGTGTTTTGAGCCAAGCAGGATACTTGATGTCTCAGGGCCTAATCTCTGAAAGCCATACATACTGGCCATCCACCTTTATCACCTGGCATGCTGATAGGAACAGAGCATTTGGTGATGATGTCTATTCCCTGAAATCAGGGCGGGATTTGTTCCTAATGTTAAGGGACCAGCTTGCCTATTCACTGGATTGGAAGCACAACCTTTCCAACCAGTTTGTCAGCTCAATTATTTGGTAACCTACTTTATGCTATAAAGCTCTGCCCCTGCATTGAATGGGGATTGCCAGAGGGCACAGGAACAACAGGGTGACTTGCTTTAAATCCTATGCAGAAGTTGCATTAGAGATGTAAAAAAAAGATTTCTTTCTAGCTGATAGATTTATTCTCAGTCATATTCCTGTGATCTTGATGCAGGAAACAGGCAGAGCAAATGGAACAGAATACAGCTCAGGTAATTTGGTTAGAATTGCTAGGGGACCTGAGCTAAGACCAAAACACATTCTGCACTGCTCAGGAGAGGGACTCTTAACTCCCTGCAGATTTTTTAGTCAGCATTGTCTTTAAATCCATTTGGGCTCTGAAAGTAATTGAGGTGAGTCAGAGGGAGATTTTCCTTGAAGCCTGAGCTAAAGTGTCTTGAAGATGTTAATACTCGCCTTGGGCTCAGACCTGCAATATTCCTTTCATGGGAATTCCCTCTAAGTTCAGTGTGAGCTGCCCCCTGCCTGGAAGTTAGGAGGTTTTCCCTACCCATAAGTACCAACATAGTTAAAGATAGGCTGAAGATGCATGGTTTACACTTCAGTCTGGCTCTGACCTGTTTTAGAGTCTGGAAGTTATTCCACTTGTAATCTCCCCACGTGTTGTTTACTGGGGATTTTTGTTGGGCTGCCCAAGCAGAAAGAGCATGTTGCCTGCAATCTGGAGTTTATAATGCAGTGCAAAGTACAGGCAGATCACTTCAGCAATGCTTTTGCATGCACTGCACCCTTCAAGGTGATCAACGGAGCTGATAGGGAGGTTCGCTGAAATAAATGGTTCCCCAGTGGCTCAGTCCCGTGCACAGGCACATATTCTGGTTTGATCCAGCAAAGCTTTTAAGATCACGATCAGCTTTGAGAATGCAAGTCGTTCCATTGCAATGATCTGGATTACCCACTGCTGGCAGGGGAACAGCGCTCATAGCCTGGCAGGATCAAGCCCTTGGAGAGGGAGGCCATGTGCTGGAGGAAGGGACAGAGGTGACTGCAAGCATTCCTGTCACAGCATAGCACCCTGGTATTTAGGGCAAAAGCACTCTTGAGTTTTTTGTTTAACTCCAATCTGCCTGACGTCCTCAAATTGTGCAAACCGAAATCAACAAAGGAGGCTAAAACCCCTGACAGCGGTTTCTCTTATTTGCTGGTAGCGGCACCGGGTACAAAATCAAATTCTTTCCAAGTGTCAGGTAAGTCAAGCTGCAGAGTGTCCCAGAAGGGAATTCTTGAGGACTTAGGTTCCACAAATGAGACGAGTGATAATTAAAGCCTGAACATTTCTGCTAGGCTGGGAAACAAGAAAGAACCTTCTTAATTCTTTAAATTCCTCATACTAGCCTGTGAAATATATTCTATTCATGCCTGTGTCTTGCTGCTTGTTCTCTCCATGTCTCTTTCTTTAGTATTCAAGCCACCTGTTTGTAACTAGTGTCCTGCAGGTTCTCAGGGCTGCTTTCTTCTCCGCTCTCTCTGCCCTTGGTCTTGTTGCTTTGACACTGAGGCCTTGTTGTCTGCAAGAGACAGCACGCTGCAGCTCCCTGGCTCGCCCTGCTCCCATAACTTCATTCTTAGAAAGTTTCTGAGTTTCCCGGGTGATAAAACATGTGCAACATTTGCTCTGACCTGAATCGTTTCTGAAGGCATTCAAGCCTGTTTTGTTATGAAGGTTACTCAGGGTGGGTGATGGGGCATGAGAATTCTCCTGCAATAGCAATTCTTGAAAAGTGTCAGAAAGTTGCTGCCTGTACCTTTTGCACTGTAGAATTGATTTGATTCGTTTTTTAGTGTATGCTGAATGATTCGTCTAACACTCAGGCTGAGACACCAGCAGAACAAATCAGCACGCTGTGAGATTGGCTGTCCTGTCTTCCCCCAGCTATGACCAGATGGGGAGAAAAAAAAAAAAAGGAAAAAAAAAAAAAGAAAAAGAATGAAGAAAAGGGAAAAAGATACAGCCGCAGGTCTTGGATTACATACGTCTTGGATACATAGCAGCTATCAAACTGCATATGGTATAGTAATGGAGTGTTTGCTGCACGTCTAGAAACCTTTGGTTATTTGCTGGAGACTAAACTAATAAATCCAGCAGTATTTAAAACTATTAAAAAAAAACAACAACATAAAATGTCAGAGAAAAAAAAAAGCCAGTGGTAAATAACTCTGGAATGTTGTGAACTGAGTGTGTGGGATTTTTTTTTTCCTTTGCCCTTTATTATTTATCCCATTAAAATAAATACTGCATGCATGATGGGTAGCTCAGGTCT